TATGTTCAGTTGAATCTTGCTGACTTCTCACGGCTAAGCCTTTGCCGATTACAAATTCGGTTCCTCCATGATTCTTCGCGCCTTCGTATTTTCGTACCCAAACAGAGCTGCACTCTTTCCATATGCCATTCATCTCCTTTCGTCGTCGTGCCTCGCAGAGGTCGAGGATACCATCAAAGCTGACCTTTCCTCAGTGAGTTGGTTTAACCTTTCCTCCCTTGCCAGTGTTCATCAGTTTTATACTGTAATTTCAACTACGATGGAACTCCGGTTCCGTTTACCAGATAATGGCCGTTTGACTGGGATTTGTAGCAGCCTCTCGCGAGTCGAATATATAACTGTCACTGGAACTGATAGAAAGAATCATAGGGTACCGGGGTTCATCTGTTCTTGTTTCCATAGTGCATGAAGCTCTGCTATCCGTTGTCCGGAACGATGATGGCCCCGGGGAATTTCGTGCAGACGAGTCCCACAGTTCTCCCTGTTTTTTAACCGAAGTTAACCATTTTAAATTTTGACGAATAGACAGAAGTCTAACCGCAAGACAGCGATGACGCTGGTGGTTCCCTTTCTTCAAAGGAGCGAGTCCCTTTCTCCCCGACATGAAACTATCATTGGGCACTGCAAAGTTTTGTCTGAGGATTGAATAAAATTTGTCGAGTACGAACTCAGCCACGCCGTGTGTGGTCTCACCGCTGCCTCATCGCGACTACCTATATGTCGCAGCTAACCTGCAAATCTGGAGGATGTTTCTCTATCCGCGACACAGTGACGTGTGCGATGGCTGCAGGAAGGCACATTGGAAATTTCTCTTTCCTTTGCCCATCGATTCATCTTCATTATTCTTATTCCCATTATTAAGAATTAATATCGTATATATTTTTCCTTACACTTTACTTTTTTTTTAATTGCAAGGAGCATGAAGAAAACTAAATCGATGGCGGCAAGTGCATAAAACTCAGACAAGGATATACGAACTATGCTTAATGAAAGGAAACCAGTAGCAGTCCGATGAGTTACGGATGTGTATCCTTCCTTTTCAGAAGCGATTCCTCCAAGATCAGATTTCACGGTGCATTCCACAGCCCCTTTGCTTCTAGGTGCCTAGGGAGCCATTTAAGCAGGTCTCCATTCCATGGTATTTGTGCAGCTGTAGTTCCAAGTGCTTTGTTTTGTTCACTAGAACCATCTAACGCTGATCATTGACGACGTTTCAGGAGCTGGTACTCTTTATGTGCTATCGCTATGTTGGTACGCCGGAGTATGTCAAATAGTGCTACTTCTAAAAGACCACGTTTCACGGCGTATTGCACAGACCTTATTCATAAGCTTCCTGATAATTGTAAGCAATCTTTTCTTAGATAACCCTGAGACCATAAAAGAATGCTTATTCATTCATGGTCTTGGTGAAAATGATAAATAACATAGCATCTCCATTAAGTTTGATAACCAGAGGTTTGGGTGGAACAACTATGCTGAGGTTCCCAAAGTTGACAAGCGCTGACCATCAGAAAGACACAAAAGATTTTTATGCATGATATCTTTGTTCTGATGACAGATGGCACGATGGAAAGATTTTTTCGCTCATCCTTTGGAGGTTAATGCTGACGGTTGGACAGTTGTTCCTCATCCTTCCCACGGTACAACTTGTAAAACCAACTTAGAGAAACTTCAACGAAAATTAGTACCTGTTTTGTTACCTTATTATTTTCAGTGCAATCGATTAAGACGAATGACTTAAATCGAATTTCGATTCAGCGTTGCCAATATCCGTGCCATTGTGAAATTCAATTACCCACCGAATTCCGCGAGAATCGTAGCTCAAAAATTAAGTAAGTCTATTAAAGCTCAGGACTAAATCGATCTGCCATCAGAAGGTTTCACCGGTGTCGAATATCCTTGAAAAATCCTCTTATATTGCTATCACCGGTAAGACTCATTACACAACGTATTTCTGTCCGGAAAATTTTTTAAACAAACATGCTCTGTCTTCTTCTAATGATGACCGTGAGAAATGCAATGATGTCTTGTTTTTTCTATCACTAGTTATGCAGCCAAGATAATCAGATAGTAATAAGCGCTGTTTAAAGGTTTACTCAATCCAGTGGTTCGTTTTGTCCAGTTCTCATTTTTGCAATTATAGCGTTATTTCGATTATCAGGTTCCAAAGGCCACAATCTGGTGTTCTATTGACCTCTCCTTTGCCATGGCTGAAACGATTTCCTTGGGCATATAGCTACTGACCTCTTTATCTGATATTCTGTCCATTTAACCTGATATGCCATTGGCACCACATTTGAAAGGTTGCAGTCATTCGATGTCTTTGAATGACACTTGTCCACTGAAATGTCACCATGAGGTCTACTTCTGGACTGATCTCTCGTGCCATCCATATTTTGCAAAACATGCTGTGTGAAGTCTCGCCAAGGCACTTGAAAATATACACTCATCAGACGTGAATTATGCTGCGTTTATTGGGCCAATTACTGTAAATGCTGCTGTTGCCTGTGCATTCGTCGACAATCCTGAAATACCGTGAAGCTTAGGAACTGCATTTATTCTTTTTACTTGTGAACTGCAGTTCATGTGTATGCATGTCGCTTTCCATGGAGCATCATAGGTTGTGCATAAGCAAAGCTGCCATTTTACATTTATTTCGTACTATAAGTTGAACAAGGAGGTCAGACATGCTAATTTCAATTGGAAACCAAAGTTAGAGGGAACGAATCACATGTAACAAAAGACGTGCATGTTGCTGAAGGGAAACATTTAAAACACTATCAGATATTAAGGATAAATCCTTTATTTCAGGGTACATGTGACGGAAGAGAGGTTCTTTCAAAGGATCGCTGATGTGAGGAGGTTCTACAAGCTTCAGATCACTGCAAATTTAATGTGATTTAGCTTCGTCTCATAATCATTGGATGAAAATGCGACAGTTTGAAATGTGATTATGAAGCCAGATGAGGGACTCTAAAGACAGACCGAGTTTTCAAATCCGAGAGAAGAGTTTATAACGCGACCACTGCGACATCCGGCGGGACATCTGTACCACTGGAGAAGTGTCCCGATTCTGCTGTCCCAGTGGTTGAAGGAGTTGCGGTCTTCGAAAAATGATGAACGAGTCAATATGCGAATAATGAACTAGTGAATTTCAGAGTTCGCAGCGCTTCGACAGTTTATATAAAATTGCAAGAAAGAAACTGTGTGGTATATAGGTTATCTCCACAGTGATTATCTGCCAGTATCAGTATGGACTGAAACTAAATTGCCTTTCACACCAGACGGATGATATATTATTTCTCCCACATTGCTGCCTAAGCTTCAGCTTACATCAACGTCATTTACATATGCATGCTGCAACGCTGAAGTTCAAGTATAGAGGTGAGTTTAATAATAATGTAACAAATCTGTAGGTAAGTTTCAGTCAGTACCAGTATGATGGGGGAGGGGATGGCTATTACTCCGAACGGTAGGACGCACGTGGAGAAATGACCTACAGCTGATCTGATATTTTAGCCTAGCCGGAAATGCATGTGGCGCGTAGATGTTCATCGCTGTGGCGCGATGCACAAATTTCTGTAACGTCGAATAGCATGGCTTGAATATTTCCTTCGATACCAAAAACGACAAAATCCTCTAAGGGAATTTCTGTTCAGAAAGATGACAGTGTTGTTTTGCAGACTGTTTAGATGAATATTCCTGAATCTGACAATCCAAGGCACGACAGGTCTCATTTTTCCATTTGCTGACCTCATTCATAAAGCATGGTTCGTAGATTTTGTCTTGAAGTCATAATTCTTTGTTCCGAGTTTGAACGATCCGACGAACAAAATTATCTCGTGCTTTCCACAGAAGTTACTATTACTTCTCTTGACGATTTCGCTTTGGTTTTATTGCCAGCGTGTCTCTGTTATTCTTAGACGATGTACCTTAAATACATAAGGAGTCTTGTTACCTCCTGATACCAAAATTAGCCTCTTTAGTCAATTTGTTCAGGTTCAGAACAGACCATCGCACCATTGCGGTTCCGAAGCGCGCAGTCTTCCCATTGTCCGCTACCCATACTTTGCCGTCGCGGACTGTCCATGACGAAAACATCGATGATTGATTATTATACCGAGCGGCATCAATGTAGTACATCGATTTATTCTGCTTTGGCGGCCATCGTAAAAGCAGTAAGCTAACCCTGAATTACCCAGAACTATCGAAACGGCCGATACAGCCTTTAC